TGTGAAAATATGCATTTGCTGTCAATGGGATTAGAGCAATCTTAAAAACCAGTAAATCACTGTCATTTCCAACGACTGCCACAGATTTATTTCCGGAGATTATCAAACCATGTGCTGTCTGTACTATCAAAATATTAGCATCTTCGACTGCAATTTTTGTTTTGACATGGTTCTTCTCCAAAAATTGAGATAAATGAGCTACAAAATTATATTTATTCGTGATGTTTGATAAAAATTTCTGCTGACTGATGACTACTAAACTTGTCTCCTTGATCTTAACTGCAGCTGCTACTTTTTCTTAGCACCGATACCTAAAAAAATCAATAAAATACTTTTATCACAGAACGATTACATGACACATAACAGAAAAAAATGGATCGTGGGACCCATGATAGAAGTGAAACTTCAAGTATCAAATGATGAGCTCATTGTATACAGAGAATTATATGAGAAGCAATTATTTATGTTATTTCTAAGAGTTAAGATAGACCTACAATTATGTAAAGATAGACCGCAAATACGAATTTGAGGTAATGTAATTATAACAAATGACAGCTCAATTTGTGTATCTTAATTTTTTATTTCCCCTTCAGGATGCCCGTAAGAAATCGGTATTTTTAGCCTATTTTGCTTTTCCGTCGAGATATGACGATTTTTCTTATTTTATGAGGTTACGTTGTCATGAAAACACTTCAAATTTTTTTGCGCACATCTGTATTATTAATTTTTAAAGTATACTGTAATTTATTCGCAATTTATAACTCCAATTTTATAAAGATAGACCGCAAATACGAATTTGAGGTTATGTACTAACAACAAATAACACCTTTATTTGTGCATTTCAATATTTTATTTTCCCTTTAGGATACCCGTAAAAAATTGGTATTTTTGGCCTATTTTGCTTCTTCGTCGAGATATGACGATTTTCCTCATTTTATGAGGTTATTTTGTTATAAAAACACCTTAAATAAATTTGTGGACATCTCTATTAATTTTCAACGTATATTTTAATTTTTTCGCAATTTATAACTCATGTATCAGAAAAGTACAATTAAAATACGAATTTGAGGTTACTTTATAACAAATAACACCTCATCACACATACACACACACATATACACACGTAAAAGTTTGAGCATGTAGTAGCAAGGGGAGCGAGGTAGAGAGAAAGGCCGTCCTACGTTCCACTCTACGCGTATATGCACTGCTCTGGTGGCAAGGGGGACGAGGCAGAGAGAGAGAGAGAGAGAGAGAGAGAGAGAGAGAGAGAGAGTGGCTGGAGTTGAAGTAGTAGGGATGCCTGTTAGTATAGCATGTGGCAGCAAGGGGAACGTGGCAGAGAGAGAGAGAGTGGCTGGAGTGGTAGGGATGCACTGCTAGTATAGCATTTGGTGGCAAGGGGGACGTGGAGAGAGAGAGAGAGAGAGAGCGGCTGGAGTGATGGGGGGGCTCAGAAATTTCGTGTCGCTCGAAAAAATTCACAACGTGTCATAAGAAGTTTTACTTCTAAGAAATTAGCACAACGTTTTTTACGACCTCGTGCCAATAACTTGCGGACAGTAACGGTCTAATCCGATCACGCAATCGTTACCGTAGTGATTTACAATGTAATTCAAGTACGTTGAAAAATCAATAAATAAGTAGCACTATGCGGCCAGACTACTTTCCAAAGAAGAAATCCACCATTAACAAGGTACTGAAGTTCTGAAGACGATGGATCATAGGTTGCTGGTGTCATGATTTTATATAAATCTGACTTGGTGCCTTTTCTCATTAGTCCTTTGTCGTCAAAAAAACTAAGCGGAAAAGGAGACAGTTCATAAAAAAAAGCTTCTTGAGTTGTGTCAACGTCATTGAAATCGACGTAGACTCGGAGTCTTTAAAGGAGTAAGTTCGTATCAACGGCAAATAGTTGAAGGTCGTTCAAATGCATGGAATTTTTCATTGCTGATAACGTTTTTACGTTGAACGTTCTTGGTAAAGCCACCTGCGTAAGTTTTTTTCTAACCATCTTCTCCATGCTTTGCTCACCCTTTTGTATCGCCAAGTGACAGTTTATTGTCTTATCTAATGTAAGATTTTAATTCTGTACATACAGCAAAGGGCTAATGAGCATCCAACTACGATAAAAGCTTATTCACGTCAAAAAAATCTCGTACTCGTCTACTTTTATTCAGATCTGCCTGTTGCTCGCTCGTTGACGTTCAAACTCCATAATATTTCTCCAGACTCTCCATAATACAAAAAGCCGAAGACATTGTGGCCAAATAGCGCGTCACTACGCTGGGCGTAATGCCTTGGCCGTGGGTCAAGTTGGTCCCAAAAAATCGGTTTAGTGTTGTTTCAATGCCCATGTCAGACCACACTTCTGACCATGGTTTATCCATCCTACGGATGGTGAAATAACCGTGGCTGGCGTATGCCTGAAACTCGACTTCAGGCATTTTTTCCTCTAACTCTTCTGAATTCTGTAGGTATATTTGACCACGTTTTGCGTATGCAAAATGATCAGTGGCTTGAAACAGTGGCAGCATTTCCCGAAGGCTTCGAAGATGCAGTTTAAAGTTACCTAAGCGTTCTGCCTCCAGAAAATATAGTGCAGTCGTGACAAATTTGAAGTACTGTGACAATAACTTTGCTGTTACGCCTCATTCCTCCAAGCCTGATATTTTGTTAATTAGTGCTTGAGTCAATGTGTTCACGGTCTCATCGGTATCACATGTTGTCAGTATCGCTTTTGCATATGCTAGTAAAGAACGATTTATATCAGGAGTCACAGATGAATCACTGGTCCCTGAAACATTCCAGAAACCTTCGAAGAGATTGAAAAAATGATATTTTTCTTCCTGCGTTGTATCAATCATTGGGCATATTTGTATACAGATTACAGTAAAAGTCAGAATGTGTGCTCTCAAGGCACGCGCAAAGGCATGACCAGACATCATCTGTTTGACTGAATTCTCAGCAGATATTTCAGACCACAATTCTTCCAACCCTGAATCATCCATGGTAATGCCAATTGAACCAAAGTACGACATTAACAAATAAAATCCTTCAAGACGAACTTGTACATCTTTGAGTTTGTCGTTATTACCCTTGTCAGCTGTACAGCTTGCTTTGTAATACAGGGGCTGATCGAAAGTTACGAAGCACATGTGCACATTCAATTTACTACACTCTTCTGCCACAAAATGCAAAGCCGTATTTATTGTTGTGTAGTCTGATGGCGGCAGTTTAATGAAAAGTTGGCAGAGAACGACCGATTTCTCATACTTAACATCGCTAGACAAAAACTCCATGAAGCCTTTCCAACTTGGTACACCTGGAATTCTCAAAAAACGACTCTGCAAATACGCACCGTAACTTTATGAAAATGCAGGCAGTTTCTCAAAGTTCATAGATCGTGTCAAGCGAAAAACAAGATTCTTTAAAACATCTAAGTCAAAACCTCCAAACGATACGATTGAAATTTGATGTTGGATGGTAAGTCTGCAGCTTTTGGAATCTTATTCAATTTTATGGATCTGCCCTTGAAACACAATGCATTCTCTAGTATATACGCGGCTATTCCTCCAAGGTAATGGAATATCTCTTTTCCATCCAGAGTACCACATTATGATTCGTATTATCATAAACAAATTGCAAGAAGGCGACCTCAGATACGTGTTCCTGAAGAAGATCCATCTCAGCAGATGTCTCAAATAACTGTACTGCATCGTAAAAGGCACACACACCTAACATGTACAGCAAGTCAATAATTTGCCTTTTTCCCGTTTCGCGTAGGATATATATATATATATATATATATTCCCAAAGCTAGCTGGAGTCTCGATGAAAATAAGGATTTCATTAATGTCATCAAAGAATGACAGAGCATGTCAATTTTAGAAGTAGTCTTTGCGCTCACTACTTTTTCATTTGGAGTTAAACATTGTACGAAGTCTTTAATTAATTTTGGTATGTCAAAATCAATGTCATCCAAGTAGTTTGCCAGGGGTGGGTACTTGTCATTTTTTTCTGTTAATGTAATGTCATTTACCAGAATTTCAGCTGCAGCCGTAGGTATTTTTTTTTCTTAAATTCGTCAATTTCAGCTTCATTCAAAAAAAAACTTTTGAAATATATTTTGTTACAAAACAATCTATAAAAAAGTATTGGTTTCCTGCCTGATCCCTTCATGACATCGATTTTCGTCCCTAAGCGTTTTTGCAGTCGATCAAAAGAATCGAGTACATGATCGTTTCTTCACTGATAACGCGATCTATTTCATCCATACAAAATTGAATGTGACCACTTCTTCCAATATGTTGGCAAACCTTATCCATTATTTTATCGATTTTTTTCCAATCATAACAAACTTTTGACGGACCACTTCGTATTTGCGAAGACAAAAATTTGTGTTTGCACTTTTTATGGTAGTGGCACTCTTGTTTGGGATCACGAGTACGTCATAATTCCAGGATTTTTATGTCCTCGTCATTACCACTTTGGACCCTTAAACATAAATAATAACTCAGGCAGTTATCCATGACTGCGCGTATAGAATCTTGATTTCCGTATGCAGGTTTTGAACAAATGAAGCGATTTTTCATGAAATCGAGGACTTGTCCTTCTAAAATAAGCTCATCAAACTCTGTCGCATTATTGGGAGAAATTTCTGACATCCCACAGCTATTGCTATTTGATGCTATTGAATACTGTTTCACACTTGTCATTCGTTTCTTCTTCTTTTTTTGATGGTGGAACATATCGTTTCCTGGCCCAAACCAGTCGGTACTTTTCGTGTACAGTCATTGATGATTTTCCTGTAAAGTTATTCACAAACATTAAACTAAGCTTTTGAGAATAAATGCCTGGTGTAAATAATAATTTTTAAGGACATTGAAATCACCTCTAGAATTATATGTCTACGACTTCATCAATGAAACACTAGATGAAAAGACTTTGGTAAAAGAAACACAAGTCAAGTTTCATCAAGAAGAGCAAAGCCAGACAAGAAAATGACTGGCCTAAGTGGGAAGGTAAGAAATACTTATCTAGTGTTTCATTGATGGAGTCGTAGACATGTAGTTCTAGAGGTGCTTTCAATGTCCTTGAAAATTATTATTTACACCAGGCATTTATTCTCAAAAGCTTAGTTTAATGTTTGTGAATAACTTTACAGGAAAATCATGAAAATATAACTGATGATGAAAAGACTTTGGTAAAAGAAACACAAGTCAAGAGTTTCATCAAGAAGAGCAAAGCCAGACAAGAAATTGACTGGCCTCAGTGGGAAGGTAAGAAATACTTATCATCATGTAAGAGAAGCTTGTCAAATAACAGACACATTTCTGCATCCTCCATGGAATCCATGCTTATAGAATAAAGGTGATAGAAATACCATATATTGTCATTCAGAAACGAAACTATTAGGGATGCAATGTAATACATGACACATTAACCGCAATAATACATCACAATTGTACCTCTAAACAATGTTTATTGATAAAAGGATGTCACACGTATAGGTCAATATTAAAGAGTGGAAATGAAAATTAGGACTCATAAATAAACGTTCCTGGTGTATGTGCTCAGTCCATGGATGGTTACAATAGTAATGAACTTATTACACAAGTTCATGTCCAAAAAGATAACTCCAGAGATTATAACTTTAACAAATCATACACAGGTGTACATTATTTCCTGAATTTTTATAAATTTTACTGTGAAGAATTTAATAAGTAATTTTCTCCACGTGTTCGGAATACGATTTAGGTATTTTAAATAAAATATACATGTTATTATAATCTACCTTCACAATACCTCTTGAGCAGTGTTTTTCGGCCTATATGTTGTTATTATTTTCAAAGTATTGTACGTAGAAATAGACAATGTTATTTCATTTTATGCAATACGTTTAACGTTGGATCAAAAGCAACGAGCAGAACAGGATATTTATCTCTGCGACTCCGAAACTCCGATCTTATTCATCAGTGTAAGTAGATCTAAATACTGCAAAGTGCACACATATGATCACGTACATCTATGTGCATGCAAGGAGTAGCTGATGATCGTTGGTGTAGGTTGGAACACACAGCTGCTTGTTCACGTGCTCTCTGTCTTACTCGCTCTCATGGTATATTGGACGAATATACATAAGATATTTTTTGTCTTAAAATTTTGTGTGGGTCCAAACAGAAGTAAAAGACCTTATCGATAGGAAATCTTCCGCTTTACACGCTGGTATTTTTATTTTCGTTCAATCTGTTATCGTCAAAGAGATATAAGCGAAACAAGTTTTAAACGCTATTTTTACGCTGTTCAAGATGGCTTTCGAGTTTTTAAGTATTTTTTTCGTCATCTACGCATGAAATTACTTACCATATCAAAAACGACCCCTTGGATATCAATTTTTAGGTTCAGCGGATTCTCTACTCGTCTACGTGGGTTAATGGTGTACGTAACTATCGAGTCAAAGGTACTCAGGTACCAAACTACCAAGGTTAATTTTAACTAGGTGTAACTACGTACTATACTGTTATAAAGCTTTTTAAAATGTGTCAATGTGTATACTGTAAGCTGTGTACAGTGCAAGTTACTACAATATTATAGTAAGAGTGTGTATAGTGTATACCCAGTAGTATCAGTCACCCATGCAACTTTATTTGCATTTTTTTTCACACTTCCGTGGTGATTTGTAATGTATATACGTAACAAGTGAGTCACTATAAGCTGTAGTACCGTACATGTACGCACACACATATATATTTGCAATAAACTACTGTCACACCATCACTCTTCGTTATTAATCATATTATGCTTTATAATATCTTACATTATAGGTAAATTGTTTTAATTTATACAGGTATAGTTTAGTAATTAATTACGTGTTTAATCCCTTAACTCTTTTCTTAAGCAAATTTATTAGTAGTAATTCACAATTATTGTACAAATAATTGAATAGCCTTCGCAGGAAACTCAATTATTTATAAAAAAATTTTTAAAAATCGAAGTGACATTTTCTTTAACGTAAGTATCCTATGGTTCTTGCCGAAAAGTCGATTCGATCACTTACAAATTGCATTTCAAGGACTAGAAATAAATTAATCAAAAAATTATAATAAGCTTACATTAGACTTAAGTTGTCAAAGTTCTGGAATAAATTTTTGCTTAATCCTCAGTATCCGTTGTAGTAAAGCTTACAACAAATATTTTCATGACAAATTTCATAATTTTAAATTTCCAGCTTAAGGAATACCTGTGCTATAAGCTTTATGATTCATTTTTTAATGTATGTATAATGAACAGATATGCAAGTTATCACAACGCATACGATTATATAAATGGCATAATTTTAGATTACTTATTTGAAATTCAGCCATTTATTTAGATAGCTACTAATTCGTTTTAGAACTTAAGTAAAACCGTAATTTATAGTTTTAAGTTTACACTTCCGTCGGCAGTCCCATGACTGCCCACTGGTTTTTTTTTTTTTTTTTCTCTTTACTATGACTATAGACAGCATGACGTGAGCTAACGATACACAAATTGTTACAGATCTTTACACTCACATAGAGGCCGTCTGTGACCGTCAAACAGTTGTAGCTTTTTTTTGGAACAATATTTTGTCAACTTAGTTGGAAAATAAATTTAAAAAAATAAAAAATCTGAATGAAACGTTAATCAAATATAACGTTAAAGTCTACACGATTTACTGATTTTTTTTCTTATTTTACCTTACTTTAAATGAAATTTGTCGTGCAATAATAATCGACCAAAAAGAGACCCAAAAATTGGTCTAAAGTTAAACGTCACGATTTTTTCTTATTTCTGACACAAAAAAACCATAAGTTACACTATAAAGACAAATTAGTCAGTTTTTTTTGTCGCTTTATACAAATCAGAGGTCAAAAAGTCAAAAACCAAATGAAGTACTGTGTTTAGCCTAAATTTGGAGAAAAAAATTTCTTTCTATCTCTGTTTACATAAAATATCCCATGTCTTATTTGAACGTTATTATCAAACGTTATTAATAATAGTTTTAAAGAGAAGAAATAGAATTGTTCTTATTCCTGTAAAGGAGGGTTGGCTATGAGATGGCAAACAATACTTTTCATATTTTTATCACAATGTTTTTTTAGTAACTACGTTAATAATCATGTTCACACTTGCGTTTGTAAAAATATTTAAGTATCATCTAAGATCCCCATGCCAAACGTACCTCACCCGTTGCCAAACTGTGCCCTTCGGGTGGGGCATGACTTGGCTTTTAGACGCTTTAGCCTTTTTTTTTTTTTTTAAGAAATTTTACTTGTTTTAAACATTTTTTTAAGTTATTTCTTTGTTTTGTAAGATCTTCCTTAAGTAAGGGTAACGATTAAGCCCCACCCTCCTTTCCATAACTTTCTCATTACCCACTCGTTTCTCCTAGCTTTACAGGTTGGGCAAAAGGCTTACAAGTTTGACGCCTTTCCAAACTTAGCCACCTGTATGCTTACGTCGTGTAATCGCTAGTATCATTTAGCTGAGAGCTCTAGGTGATAGGCCGATATTAGTTAGTGGCTATTAGACTACGCTGTGTTATAGTCTGATTCAATGTTTTTCATATTGGTATATACACGTTTACTAATTACTTGGTATCAACATTTTGTGTTGATCCAGGTAGATTGCAACTAATATTCTTCGTCTTACTTATATACATTTGTACAAGTCTCAATTCTTATTAATTTAACCTATAGTTATTACAATGACACACGCTAGCTTATCGATCCCAAACTGATTTCTACTCAGAACTCGAATTCATAAATCACTAGTGTTGATCTCTACAAGGCAAGACGTTAAATTAGTATTATTTATCTTACAAGCTAAAAATATTAGTAAACTGCATTAATACTTGATAAATGCTGCGTCAAAAATTTATCTATGTTTCTTAAAAAACATCTCCATAAGGCCAATGCAATGCAGCTAAGTTATTCTTTAGAGTTTAATGTATCAATGAAACACAATTGAAACCATGATCTATTAGCCTTAAAGATTGTACGTATATTGTAATACTTTAAATTTTAAATTATATAGCACATTTAGGTTTAGATTTGTGAATTTATCATTATTAAGGCAGCAGAAAAAAAAAAAATATTTACATATATATATTTGCTATGCATCGTGAGTCATCAAGACGTTGACCTTTTATTTATAGATGTTGTTACTTATTTTAACAATTTTCGTTACCTATTCATACTTCTCTAAATTTAAGTAAGACTTATAAACACAAAACATTGTAAGCTAATTACTTTTTCACTGTCAGAAAAAATGTTAGGTAAAGGCTTACAGAGTAAGAATATTCCTTTTCTAACCAAAAGTCCTCAAATTTATTTAACAAGATTATTTGGTAAAACATGGTCAAAAAATCCCTGTTCGATTTTAGGCCCTGGCTATAACCATAAAAAAAAGTTTTTCAGGGTTTAATTAACATAATAATAAGTATTCATAAAATTACAGTACAACTTAACAAAATAGTTTATTTCTGTATCTTCACTGATGACTTTTCTAACCTTCTAATGCACAAAAAAAGTGCTGTAGTTAGTTGACAAATTTTTATTTTCTAACATTCATAGGTAGTAATACATAAGTATTCAATCAAATGAGTTTTCAGCTCTTGAACTAGTAGGACCAAACTATCGCTCATTTGTTACAGTATTAACATGCACTTTCTACACTATAGGCTTATGTATGTTGGCTGGAGTAACATACTTTGTACAAGAGTGGCGAACATTAGCTCTTGTTACCAGTGCCCCATTTTCTTCATATTTCTTCTACTGGTGGTGAGTAAATATTTCTGATGTATTGTAGTAGTTTAATAGCTCATGTAAGTTTTAAGACACTTCATACGTAAAAATAGAGCTTAACCCACATGCTTGCTTTGTATGACAATATAAAGGGTGCTAACAATATAATTCTAATATTAACATTTATGTCAATAAAATAAGTTAAGATTTTAATAATGTATTCTTTTTTTACAATTTATAACGTATGTTTTTTTTTACATTCTTTAAAAACCAAAATAGAATAGTAAGTGTCACGGACGTGGCTTCGTTTGGTCAAGCGAGTGCCCGTGTGTTGGCACACTAGCGTACAAGTATCAACACAATAGTGTATCTAAGAGTGAAATATTTACAGCTGCTCTCGGCAGCGGTCATAGCTGAGCATTCAGCGTAAGGTTTAGTTAGTTGGGTTAGAGCCCCTGCTCCACCCTCCAGGTAGAGCAACTTACTACGATATTCTGGACTCTTAAATCCATTTATTTCGTTAATCGGAATTACCTGCTCCTTATCTACACGAAAATCGTTGAAGCATGTTCCGTAACAATAGATATATATTGTTCGAAAAAGAAACTATAAAAGGTGAAGAAAAATTAATTACTATCCTTAGATAAATCGATAACTATTATAAATATGCAACACTGAATAAAAAAAAAATGGTTGGTTGAGCAGGACTATCAATTATTACAACTGTCTGATATTCTGGCTGTTTGGTAATGCCATTATCCAGAAACCTCTTACTTTATAAACAAAATTATGTATGAAAATATTCGAAAACAAATACAATTTGAAGTTATTTTTCTTGTTAGCCTACTTACAAAAAACAACGTGAGTGGTCAAATAGTAACATTGCACCAACAACTTTCGTGGCCCACCAATGTGCTTACATTATTATTGCCACATTAAAAATCGTCTCTTCGACATACATAATAAAAATCTTTCTTAAATAAGACTCAGCTTAAAATTGTAAAAAAAGGTAAAAGTCACATTACAAAGCATGCCATAAGGTATGAGTCGTATTGAATATAAAGACTAATACACAAAAAAGTTAAAACTGGCTCACATCTGGCACCATGGATAGTAAACAGCTGGTACCACGCAGTCACTTGTTTAAAAAATGAGTCACTCTGGTTTCGAAACTCTACCATTAGTGGCGGGCACAACTCTCCACTAAAACGTAGTTTTACAGAGTGGTACAGTGAGCGGTTACCAAAAATTTGCATTCTAAAATCTATTATAAATTAAATCACCGTTTTTACGTTAACTCCATGTTGAATTAACATTAATTTATCATTTATTCAGCATTGATGAAAGACAGAATAAATTGTTTACTTAAAATGAATGCTCTTTTTGTGTGAGCATTTTTGTTGCAATTCCAGAGAATTTTTGTAAAGCTTATCACTTGAATAATGTCAAGTTTATAATTAGTAAACGTTAATTTTACGCTTAATTAGTATTGATTTAACACGGAATCAGCACAGAATCAGAAATGTAATGAATAACTGATTTCAGTGTTATTTGAGCTTGCATATCTTTGGTAGGGTATTACGAAAATCATCTTGATCTGATTAACTCAAAAAATAACAACTTACGTATTTTTTCGCTTTTTATTTGATATATCTTACACATATACATAACACTCGCCAAATGTAGTAGCTTGAGCTCCTTAAACAGTTACTAAACAAAAGTATTCACGATTAGCATCTTTAAAGTAGCCATCAAGTGTCCTGCGTTCCCTTGTTACTTGTGCTTTTGTTATTCATTGTTTTTTATTCGTTTATTAAGTAGCAAGTAAGCACCCTGGGTAACTTGGTAATTGGTACTTATGTTGTACATTGTTTTTTTTATTGAGTATTTATGTGGTCAGTCTGCGCTTCGCAGTAATCAGAACTCTGAAATTTCGGCATGTTCCGCTCGTTACTCATACAGTTTTTTCCAAACCGATCAACTAGGTGTGAGACAGGCAATCCATAACTGTCAAAAAAAACTTTAACTATACTTAAATATGTATATACACAACCTCGCACGACAAGTGGAGCTTATTCGTCACTTACATGCACGTAGGTGTGTATGAGCTTCAAGGTAAATATTTTCTTTTATGCTGACATACAATGCGATCAGCTGTATTGCAAAAATGTATGTCTGTGATAAATTTGTACGTTATCTATATGTATACATAAATTTTACTGTATGCATAAATAAATAGTTTACTCTCGCATTGATTGTATACTTCTTATAATATATTTAATGTAAACCAAAATAAAAACTGTTATCAATAAATTATTTTACTACATTGAAAATTAATTGTAACATTACTAAAAAAATCAATTGCAAAATTTGTAAGCTTATTTTTCATACTTAGTCTTGTGATTGGTGATTCATTTAATGCTTATGCAAGTTTGCATCATCACTGATACGATAAACTTAATCACACTTGTCAGGAAAATGTGATTAATACTGTTGTATTGTTATTCACTAATACATGAAATTATATCATAAGACGTCATCGTATTAGCCAAATGTTTTTCTGTTAACGCAGTCTGCAAGTATATCGCTCATTGGTTGACCAAACATAACTAAAGGCCTGTTCTACACGCCCTGTCGCATGACGTTGTAAAAACGCACCATTAAGAAAAAAATTTGTCTTTTTAGATCTGTCACCTACCCTCTAATGTTTTAGACAAATCTTGACTCCCATGACTCATAAGTACTTTATACACGTAAGGCATTACGTGTTGGCTAAGATAGTTTGGGTGCATTTTAAGAACATCAATAGTAACTAAACTATTCTAAGTAGTGACAATTAACGAAGGAGACCCGCTAAAAGTGGTTACAGTGATATCAAAGAGAGAAGAAGCCTTATTAACTTTTCTGCCCCGACCTTATTCGTGTAGTTTAAGGGACCACTGAAAAATACTGCACGAAATATAAAGGAACTCTGAAGCAGCAGTAACAAGAATCAGTTATAAGTAAAAGTTGTTGATCTGTAGTATAACAAATACCAAGCCTTGTTTAAAAGATCAAAGAAAATTGTATTAAGAAGAATAAATTATCTTCAATCTGTTTTAATAGAAAAATACGTTTATTGAAATTATAATTATTATTTAAATAAACAAGCCCCAACTCAAAAAAAAAAAAATGAATCTCATGAGCTAAACCCTCAAAAATCCACAAGTGACACTAGACTAAAATGTTTCAAAGAATACCTTAACAACTCTGGTAATTATAATATCGACATTTAAGGTAACCAAATGCTTACCGGGACTTGTGCTCTTACCTGTATTAGTAACAAGAACACCTGGTCTAGTCCAAACATCAGGCAGCTTATGTGCTGTAAAGACTGGGACTGTTAGCGTTAAAATATGACTAAGTGCTTGCTGTACTTTCAAAGACTCATATTTCTCGATATAAGTGTACACAGATACAATGGAACTCCCACTTTTTCTAGGTTTCCGAATCTTACTGCTTTGTTTTTAAGGTTACCAGCCTGTAGTACAGCAATGGTCAAAGCCAACAATGGGCTTAAGCATGTAAGTTTTATCGTCGGCTCAATCAGGTAGAGTCACCAGTTTTTGATCAAAGTGCACGTTAACTTGGATAAATATGGTGTGCAAAAAATTGTTTTCTGAAGCTGCAGACCTATATGTATGCTGTCAGAAGATAATTATACATTTACTTGTCTCATTAAGTATGCGAGATCTGAATGATCTTTAGTTTAAGAGTTTATGACAAACTTTATTGGACTTTCATATATCAGTAACAAGCAGGTACTTAAAAAATCCCTTTACTTGCTTCCCTATAATTCAACTTTTATTAAAGACAACGATAAGTATTGCAACATTTATGTTACATCATATTATATAACTTATACTTATATTATACAAAATTATCATTTATCTTAAAATGTCGGTCCCTTAGTTTTGTTATTTTTTTTAATTTTCCTAATTTTTTTACGATGAACGTGTTTAACTCTTTTTTTCTCTTTTCTTTGCTCTTATTCTCTCTAACAACACTTCATTTTCAGTCACATTTCGCCACTCGAAATGTTTTTTTTTCATCACAAGTTGGAGAGATGTGTAGGATACCACCTCTGCTACTAGACTGTACTCTACAAATTAAGGTACGGTATCTGGATCCATCAATTACTGTAAGAAGCTCTTTAGTCACCTTATGTTTGAAGTTTGTATCTCATTTGCTTGCGTGATATGTCATGGCATTATTTAATAAAAAATCATGCTGACCAATTTCACCAATTATGTTTACACTAGCTCACAAAACTTATTTTCAAACATAGCTAGCACCTTTTGTTATATTTGGCATAACTGTAAATAAAATTCTCATGAAAAAATGTCAAAGTCTTGGCCTCTCTATCCGTGCATTCTAGTAGTTGCATGCTTAAAACCCCAACCTTAAACATTATTCAGATAATGATACACAACTTGAAATCATATTTTGTATAGGGATTGTAAAAAAAACATTTTCCTGAAATGTACTACCACTGTAAGTGTTTCAAGCTTGGAGACTATTAGCTTTTAAATTAATCTCATATTTACGTCAATTAAATAAAATATACTATAAAAGAGACATACGTAGGCAATTAGCGTATTATTTTTGACAATTTTAATACCAAAATTAGCTTTTTTAGCATCCAAATAACCTGTTAGATATAAAGGTAGATATGTGTGTCAAGAACAGTTGGTTAACATATATTTAACACTACTTAAACTCGATAGACCTCTGTTGTCAACATGCTGGCTGTTTTTCAACCGTAAATATTTATTACTTTATTTCTTGTCCTTTTTGCTCGATCTCATTTAATATGAATTATTTCTTCTTTGAATAATGAAATGCGGTGTATTGCGTTTTATAACCATGGTAGTTTCCTACCTTTGTCTACTTAAAAATTTTTTATTGTAAATGAAAAAACTAGTGTGTTTAAATAAAAATGTAACACTAATAAGTACAAAACAACTGTTCTCAATATAAACTTGCCAACGCTATTT